CCTCTCAAAAAATGTAACTACACGTCGCAACGACGCGTAGCACAAGCTCTGTGATTGGTCGGCTTGGTAGCGTTGACGAGTCTGGGAGGGACCGAGAGCCGCGCGAATGGCACAAGTGATTGTTTACAAGTGTGGAGTCCCGTGAAGGAGCTCTGGATGGAAAGTTTTGTTCTGTGTTTACCTCATAGTTAAAGCTGCTGCACGTCTGCCAGTTCCTGCCTCAAAATGAGCGAGTTTGAGCCACTTGTACATCCAGGAAGTGTTCAGGAAAAGCAAAACAGCAGCGAAGAAACTCGACACAGAGGAACATTTACACCTTAATGCCAACTAGCGTTTCGGAAGTGTTAATGCAGACCAACAGAGACAGCGCGCAGAAGTATAAATGCACAGCTACGCGCGTTGCATGCGCCGTGGGTCACGCCGGTCACTTGACACAGAAGTATAAACCAGGCTTAAGGACCCATCCACTTTAGAGGCTGCAGGAGTTATTATTAGGGGGCTCAATTCATCCAACAGCCCATCACCAAAGCCTTATCATGGTGGAGTGGTTTGAGTGCCTAAATGATCCGAGAAGCTATGTCGTTAGGGGCTAAATGCACTTAATAGGGTCTCCAAAAACAAAATACTCCTAGGTGATAGGACAGACTGTGTGGTTCAAAAACTTTTGACATGGGACTTCCCTCCTGTAGACCAGTGCATTGTGGAACTGAGGGTGGTTGAAGGCTAGGGCCACGACAACCTGATCCTTGGACACAGAAACCCGCTCTTGGGACAAGGAATATCAACTTACTGAGTGGAAGGACCCTAAGCTTGTGTGGGAGGTTGAATGGTATGGGCTAGAGATAGTAAGGCTCACCTCTATGCACAGTTGGGCTCTGTAACTAAACTTTTTGAGAAGGGTTGGACTCAATTCTACTCTGGGTTTGCCCACAGTGAAAGGTGGTGAGCTTATCCACCATTTATTGACTTTCCTTCACCACAGCAAAAAGAACTGCCAAATATTCCAGCATATGTTTTACACAGAGAATGCCCTTCCAGCCACAACCTATTACTGGAAAACACCCATATTCTCACATTCTCATACACTACAGCCAGTTAAATTCATCCCATTCCCCTATACCGCATGTCTTTCGACTGTGGGGGAAACCAGAACACCCGGAGGAAACCCAGGGTTTATCCAGCATATTTTGGAATTTTTCCCATTGAACAAGAGGGTCACCTCCCTGTGCCTTCAGGTCAGGATATAGGTCTCTCACTGTTGTTTGTGCTAATGGGCAAAACAACAGTGCAGAGTACCTGGGCTTCTTGAAGTCCTTGGGAGAGTTTCTGGAAAATGCTCTGACTCTTCTACTGGGGGTCTTCTGTGCTACTCACAGTTTTTCCATAACAAACAACATGCTAGGGCACAAGTGTGTCCATAAGTGCACATGGCATCAGGATACCCTTGGTCGGAGGTTGATGATTGACCTTGTGGTTGTTTCATGTGATCTTTAGCCATATCTCTTGGACACTCTGCTAAAGAAAAGAGCAGAGCTGTCAACTGTAAACAATAAAACCAGCATGTCCACTCTGTTTGGTTTCAGAGATGCACTACATTGTCTGATGTGCTGAGAAGTCTTTCAAAGGGTGTGCTAGTGGCAGACTGAGATAGATACATTTGAATTAAATCACTCAATTATTTCAAACCAGTGCAATATGCATTGCAATATATTGATCGTTTTTATGTATTGTGCAGCCCGACAATGATCTGCTGCAAGGAGATAAGTTCTCAGTCATCGTAGTAAGCTGTAATTGTGTGATCTGACTGGGGCTCACGAAGAAAAAAAGTGGTTATACTTGATCATTCAGTCCTTTTTAAAGGTCACATCTTCAGATGTCTTTGGCTTATGTTGCATTTATATTTTAGAACCATACCAGACTTTTTTGGAAAGTGCACCAAAACCCATTTTTCAGTGGTCTGTCTGTATAGTGCACATTGAGGTTTAGGTGCCAATGTTCAATCACATCAGGCTTTGTTTTAATTCAACCAAAACTGTCGAGTGTTTTTTTTAATTTTCAAATATGAATTATATATAATCATACTACCCAGCACTGTAAGCTTGTGAATCTGTAACATAAATAACTTACTTGTTTTCCTGTGCAGCCTTGTGGATTTTCTACATGACTCAGGAACCCTTAGCACTTCCGCAGTACCGCTCGTTTCCCATCACCCTCTTCTCTCAGTTTGAGGTGAGCGTCGGTCAGATTGATTTGCCAGTGGATCACACACTCTTCACCCATCCAGTGGTGTATTGGACCCACGTCTGCTTCAGCTTGATCTCTAATGTCCTCCTGTTTAATCTCCTGGTCGCCATGATGAGTGACACTCAGTGGAGAGTAACTCAAGAACGTGATGAGCTCTGGAGGACGCAGGTTAGTACTTTAGCTACTTCAGTCACAGAGCAACTATGCTGGAAGAAGGAAAAGGTTACAGTTGGTTTCTCTTTTCATAGGTGGTGGCCACTACTCTGATGCTTGAACGAAAGTTGCCACAGTGCCTGTGGCCAAGATTGGGTGTCTGTGGTCTGATGTTTGGGCTTGGAGAGCGCTGGTATCTTCGGTAAGATCACAATCACAATTATAAAAAGTACATTTCAAATTAATTTTACATTTAAAAGAACAGTGACAATGTTACCATTGGCTTCAATTAAAGAACAAGTTTTGCTAATTTATGAATACTAAAAAGAGCTTAAGCATTTAAAGCAAAAGATGACTAAATGTGGTATTAGAAGTATACCCGGAATACGCCCCCTTGTGGCTGTCGCACAGCATTTTCAGTTTTGTTGTGCACCATGGTAGAGAAGCTGGATTCTGTCTGTCCGAAATAAATGAATACTGAATACTAATAATGAATACTAGAAACTCATAGACCGCTAAAACTTTTGAAGGGAATGTGGAGACAATATAAAAAATATTTTTTTATTACTCATTTGATTATAAATGTTTTTTAATATAAACCTATTTTTGATTCAAAAAACCTACTATTTCTCACCTCGCACGCATGGATCTGCTTGAACAACACTGAAATACATCACATCTGGTCGACCGGTCACACACGGTCTAGTCGCAGTTTTTATTTTTATTTTAATATTAATATTTTAAAGTTGCCTTTCCACTGCACACAACATTTAGACACAACTTTCAGAATACGCCCCATTTTGGTAGTCGCACAGAATTTTCGTTTTTGTCGCACACCATAGGAGAGAAGCTTATCGCAGTCTGTGAAATAAAGAAGTGCAAAAGCAAGAGCCTTTAAGCCTGGTTTATACTAAGTGATCGGCGTGACCCACGGTGCAAGCCTTGCACGTAGCTGTGCATTTATACTTCTGCGCGCTGTTTCTGTTGCTCTGCAATAACACTTTCGAAATGCTAGCTAGCAGTAGGTATTTATGTTTCTCTGTGTCGAGTTCCTTTGCTGGAGTTTTGTTTTTTCCTGAACGCTTCCTTATTGTACAAGTGGCTCAAATTCGCTCATTTTGAGGCGGAAACCGACGGACATGCAACAAATTTAATCATAAGGTAAACACAAAACAGCAGTCTCCATCCGGAGCTCATTCACGGGACTCCACACTTGTAAACACCCACTGCATCACGCTCGCGTGGCTCTCACCATCGCCCACACTCATCAGCGCTACCAAGCCGACCGATCACAGAGCTTGCGCTATGCGTACGCGTTACATTATTTGAGAGGTGCGTGTCAGTGAAGGGCGCCGACGCATAGCATACGCATGCGTTTGACGCAGAAGTATAAATCAGCCTTTATTCTGTGTGCGTTCACCATGGTTGAATGAATTAATACTAGAAACTCATAGACTGCTTAAAATTGTGAAGATAACATTAAAAAAATTTTTTTATTATTATTCATTTATGAATAGAAATGTTTTTTTTAATATAGACTTTTTTATGATTCAAAAAAATAACGAAACTAATGTTTCTTACCTCGTGCGCACAGACATGCTTAGACAACACGTACATCATATTTTAATGTATCCGCAGCTCAAATCGGATCCAAATTTTCCACATACAGAGATGATCGGAACTCCATTCAGCTCCTGGACTACTCTCCATTGAAAATGATTGACTTCTGGTCTGTCGCTTGTTGTTTGTCATGTGCTGTGGAAAGAAGGCTTAACAGATCCGCAATACGAATTTTCCGCATACGTAAATGATCGGAACTCCATGCAGCTCCCAGACTACTCTACTCTCCATTGAAAAAGAATGATTTCCAGTCTGTTGTTTGTCGTGTGCAGTGGAATGGCGGCTTTAGGCTAAATTGTCTGAAAAAAAGCATGGATTTGAACCACTTCTCTACAGCTGCTTTCATACTGTCAGCCCAAATCATACCGCATGAGTATCCAATTCAAACCCGTATATTTTTCAATATTGATAGTGCCTGGCACACATGCTGGAAGTTACCAAGCATTACTTTTATACCTAGTGAAATGTTTAGGTGCTATCGTTGTGCCTGCTGCAGCCTTGGTCTGTCAGCTAAAAATTCTTGATTATTACTCAGGAATGTGTACACAAGCATTCATTTCGAATGAGGAGTTTAAACTTGCAGCGTTTAACTAATTCACTATATCTTTTGATTCCAGAGTGGAGGATCGCAATGACATAATGGCCCAGAAGTTGAAACGCTACGTCGATGCATTCTCAAAAGATGTAGAAGCACCCAAAGAGGAGAAACCTTCTAAGAGTGATGGAGAGCAAAGCATTACTGAGAGCAACAAAGAAAAATCGAAGAAATCAAAACAGTATTGGAGTCTCATTCGCAGGAGTATAGAGTGTGAAAAGGAAGAATGTGTGGATTGCCCAAATTTCAAGTTTCTCTAAAAAGCGGTCAGGATTTAGTAACATTTAAGAGTTTTGAGATTCCTAGTATTAAAGGGTTTCTGTTAAGTTATTCTGAATTATCTTAGTGTTGTATATTATGCAAATATATAGGTGTGCACCATCACTGGTAAATATAAAGGTGGAAGTTTAATTAAGAAATACAAACAAAAACATATCAAACAGAATGTACGTGCAATTCATTACTGTGTGAACATTAGACACATTTAGTGCAAATAACAAGCTTTGTGTAAATGATGAGTGTGGTTAGAAATGAGTGCAACATTAATGCAAATAAAGCACATAAATATCTAAAAAGCTTTTTGATCCAGTTATGTACACTTAAAAAAAAAATGTCTCATTTCTGATTTAATCTTGAGTATGTGCTGAATGATGGTGTGGATTGGTGTGGTCTACATCTTCTGACAGATGTACTGTAAGTTCAGTCTGCAGGACGCTGGCTGCCAGCTCCGCTCTGCCGATTTCTCTCCAACCATGATGCCACATTCTCCAGAGGAAGAAGAATCGCCCCAGTATCTGTATGCATGCATAAGTAGCTTACTCATTCAGTCACATTTAAATTGTATCAAAGTATCCAATTCAGAAGTATTGTTTTTTTTAACCATGTGATAAGTTATGACCGGTGTAATTTATATACCGAAATAAATTACAAGTGGCCTGTTTTTTATTATCTATATTCTTTAAATAAACACAAACAAACCCCAAGAAATTTGAAAATTAACACATATTTTTAAGCAGTAGAACATTTGAAAACTTAGTATAAAATGTAACTGAATTGAACTCAAGGAGACACCTTTTGACCATGTACTTCAAGGCTTCATAATTACCTCATCAGATGGTTACAAAACAATAGTATTGTAAATACAAAATGAATGAAAATATAAATAACAGAAAATCTGATTTTTAATCAGGGTACATTTAATGGAATGTTTCACCCAAACATAAAAATCTACTCACTATTTAGTTTTATTCTAGTTTCAAGAGTTCACACTTAGCTGATGATTGATTATAAGCAAGTTTGGCATGCTGTCCCGGGAGAGAGCCCTGAGCTCGAAGGTTCTTGAGCCCTGGGCTCCCTCCCGTTTAGAGGAAGAGAGGGGAGCCTTGAGCTCAGGTAGATCTCGACAACTCCCCCTTGATAAGAGCTGATGACTAAAAATTGAATGCTATTACAAGATATGCTGCGTTATAAGATTACCTGAATTGCAAATTTAGATTTATCAATTTACTTGTTGTGCATGTTTTTGGAATGTGGGAGGAAACCGGAGGACCCGGGGAAAACCCACGCAGGCACGGGTAGAACATGCAAACTACACACAGAAATGACCACCGGCCTGTTGAATGACTAGAACCGGTGACGTTCTTGCTGTGAGGCGACAGTGCTAGTCACTGGGCCACCGTGCTGCCCTATGGAGGGAAAGGTGAAAAGGTAGGGGTGGAAGGGGGGATTCTTATAACGAAGATGACTGTAGTGAAAAAACCCTGGCTCCATAGTGGGTTAGGAATGGCCTGATTGGTGGATCATGCATGCTAATGCAGAACCAGCCGTGTTCAATCATAATCACATGCTCCTCTCGAAATTAGTTTATGAATAAACTTCACTTATCTATTCAGTTTTTTTTTTCCTGCCTTACACAAAAGGTACTCTGAAGAATATTAGAAACCAATAGCCCAAAAACAAACAAAACAAATTATAATCCAAAATTTAACACTTCTATATATCTACTTTTCTGTTCAACGGAAGAAAAAGTCAAACAAATTAATAATAAGTTGAGAATTTCAAGATTTTATCACCTTTATTTAAAAAACGAAGATCTCCCTTTAGTGGCTAATGTTTAGACTGCATGCTTTCGATCTTGCTTTTAATAATAATATAATTGTTAACATAACAGTTTCCCACCTCACTGTCAATACAGTGTTGTTAATCCACATCCATTGATTGGTCCCCACGTGACTCAGGCCGATCCAGTAGTTTATAATTGCCCTCTTACTCAGAAACGTCTGCAGAGGAGACATATTGTTCACTGGGACAAAACACATTGATATGACAATCACTCCTGTTAGATTTATCTTGGTTTTACCAACCTGCACACGTTCATTAGTGATGACAGCAAGATCTCCTCCTTTCCTCTGGCACTCCTCTCTGCTCTTCTGCCAGGTGAGACGCGTCTCGGACAGGAAGTAACAAGTGTTCTCGAATCTCAGCCAGCCGCTGCCACAGTCACGGCACAGACCCACTACACACACACATGTAGAAACAAGACAACACTTACATAAAAATAGGTTATATGCACTGTCGAAATCAAATTGTCAATATAAAACATTAATTTCAATCAAATATCTGTTTTATTTATTTATTTATATATATATTTATTTATTTTTTATTTATTTTTTTTATCAGAATATGCAAAAATCATACAAATACAAGAAAACATCAACAGATAACAAATACAAAGCAACAAAACAAAACAAAAACATCAACAATATAGTCAGGTACTGGTATGTGCGTGAGTGTGTGCGTGTGTGTATGCATGTAAAGGTAACTTGGTGGACAGGTCAGAGTACATACATTAGGAACAATAACAGTCAATAAATGAAGCAAGTGTCACAGATATAGATAAAACATATAGAAAGAAACCAGTCAGAGGTAGGGAGTAACAACAATGCTTATTAATGTATGATAGTAAATATGAGAGTAAAAAGAGAGAAAGGACAACAGTAATAACTGACAACAATAATAATAAATCACAAGTGCTACACCAACTACTACAACAGAAAGTTACTTATATTACAACTACTACTGCTTCTACTACAGCCACAACCATGACTACTACTACTAAAGTGTCTACTAATACTGATACTACTACAACGACTACCACTACTGATACTACTATAGCGTTTGCTACAACTAATACAACAATGTCTACTGCGACTACTACTACTACTACTACTACTACTACTACAATCACTTCTACTACATCTACATCAACAACATCTACTACTGATATTACTACAGCAACAACGACTACTACTACTACTGTAACAACCTACTGGTTGTTCAAATATCTGTTTTAAAAAGTATTGTACTTAAAGGAGCTCTTCAGAAATAGGTTCATTTTACAAGTAACCTTGGGTTAAACATTCATTTATTCACTCATTTTTCTTTAGCTTAGTCCCTGCATGATTTATCAGGGGTTGTCACAGTGGAATCAACTGCCAGCTGTTGTATGTTTTTTACGCAGCAGATGCCCAACCAGCCAATACCCAGCACCATGCTGGGAAACTTAAACAGTTGAGTTTCAACATTTTTAAATACATTCAGCTGATCTCCCAGTCTTGCGGGAGCACTTTTAGCTTAGCTTAGCATACACTAGGCCAATATGGCTAGGAACTAAATACTCTCATTCTTTTGCTGGAATGAGAGTATAGTTCGTAGCCACATCGGCCTAGAAATTAGCAACTTTTTAATGTCCGTCAGTCAAAATCAAGCTTTAAATAGGATCAAAACTTTTTTTTGAGCGACAATGCTCAAAAAGTTTAATTATTTATGCTAAGCTAAGCTAAAACTGCTCCCGCCAGACCTGGACTACCCAAGTTTCTGTTGTTGAAATTTGTAGGATTAGCATTGTGGTGAAAAATAAAACCTCTAATTTGGTTGAGGATGTGCTGAAAAAACTTTAAGACGGTGTATAAACGATATGATCTATATCAGGGAGGTCAAACTCAATTCCTGGAGGGCCGAAGCCCTGCACAGTTTAGTTCCAACCCTGCTGCAACACACTTACCTGTAGGTTTCAAACAAGCCTGAAGGACTTAATTAGTTTGATCAGGTGTCTTTAATTAGGGTTGGAACTAAACTGTGCAGAGCTGCGGCCCTTTTGGAACTGAGTTTGACACCTGTGATCTATATGCATGCAGGGTTATTTGTTTGGTTCTTTGATAATTACATTAAGGCATGTTATTGTACACTTAATCATAAGATTATAGTTAATATCTATTTGCAAACAAGTTAACTGTATCTGGCAACAGAAAATTAAAGGGATAGTGCACCTAAAAATTTCAATTTTGTCATCATTTACTCACCCTTGACTTGTTCCAAGCCAGTATTGAGTTATTGTTTTTCCTTCGTTCTTTTGAACACATAACAACAACAAAAAAACTCTAACTGGTTTGGAAGAGGCCAAAGTTGAGTAAATTGGTTTGGAACAGGTCAAGGGTGAGTAACTGATGACAGAAGGCAAATTTTAATAATTAACTATTCCCTTAATGAAAGACACCTAGTGTATTAGTGATGGGAAGTTCGGATTTATTCCATGAACCGGACCTTTCGGACAGTTTGCTTCAATGAACTGGTTAAAAAAAACGGATCACCGGTTCTTTTACACTACATTGTAATGATGTCATCTGTTATAATCTAATGACAATCCTCCAATGTTAGAACTCAACATATTAAAAATATGTAGTCCACAATCATAATTTAATTAGTTAAAAAACATCACCATAATCTGAAAAGTTTCTGAAATTAAGTTTTGCAACCCAAATGAAGCATGATTCCCTTCAAATTCTATATTGATTTTCTGTTATAAAAAAAAAACAAGTTATTTTGGTTATTTCGACAGTAGCTATTGTGCTGCTGTATCAGTAACATACAGCAGGCTGTCATGTTAGGTTCACCACCTGCTGAATCACGCATGCGCAGTATAATCAGTTCACTGCTTAAATCTGATCTCTGTGTAGTGTTCTAGTAAGTAAATAATGATTTTACTTATCAAACATCTTGCAGAACAAAATAGAATTAAAGAGCCCATATTATACATCAAATAGGGTCATATCTTGGTTGTAAGAGTCTCCAACAACAGTCTAATATGCATGCAAGGTCAAAAAACACTTTCATGGTCTTATAATCTGCATTTATTTTTACCTAATTATCCCAGCGACTCCTGTATGAATCGTCCAGTGATTCATTTGTTCCCAAACCCCTCCTTAGCGCGGAGCTAATCTGCGCTGATTGGACCGATGACAGTCTGTCGCGATTGGTCGACTGCCTTCAGTCAGAGAGGGAAATGGCCAATAGCTAATCAGCAATTTAAAAAGTAATCACAGTTCATACACGCTCGATAGTGTAGGCGTGGATTTTAGCTGCCACACTATGGCGAGTGGATAGTGCCACGGATAACCGAACGAAGGAGACAGTCGTGTACTCGCCATACCACACACACACAAAAACACACACACACCTCCGGATGACAACGCTCCCGCTTCCGCCCGTACCCGCCAGGTTTTAGCCTGAGAACCCGCTCCGTTTTCTGCCCGCCGCGCCCGGTCCCGCTAGAGCGGAGAACACAACCAAAAATCACCCAGTATACAGTCCAGACAGCCAAGCTGTCTGTATAAACACATACACACAGCACAAAGCTCGTTCGTTAGTTCGCTCTCTCTCTCTCGCTCTCTCTCATACGCTCTCTCATACCAAGCAGACTCTCTCTTTCTAATTCACATAGCAATATCCGTGATATTGCTAGACAGCCCGCTCCCGTCCCAAATTAAACCCGTTACCGACCGCTCCCGCGATTTATTCGGAAATTTATTCCCGCGGCTGTCCCCGCGCCAGATTTCTGCGGCGCGGGAATAAATTTCCGAATAAATCGCGGGAGCAGAACTCTAGCACGGAGCTCCATAAACAAACAGCACGCGTCGCGTTTTTAACGTGACTTTGCACGCGATAAGATAATATATCCAGTTAACCTGATACAGTACACGCGGTTACAAGTAACAAATCACAACTAAATACATTTGCAAGCTAGAGTAAACGAGGCAACAACTTTAACCGCACGTACTTACACTTGAGAAATGGAAGAAACCCATCCTGACGTCCATCAGTTACTCTTTACTGATCCTTCCTTTAACAAACTCAGATGAAGTATTCTTTGTAGCATGTAGCTTCCAGAAGTTTCCAACTGCTTGGTTATAATGCTGAGGTTTCATCTTTGGGTAGAGACTCAATATATCCATCTGCAGTGTGACTTCAATCAACCGGCATGTTTGTGTGTGTGTGTGTGTGTTTGTGGGTGTGTGTGTGTCTGGGTTTCTGCGTCAGAGGGCGGGGCCTCAGGTTTGAAATCTCCCGGGTTTGCACGTGCACGTGAATAACTTGGTTTCGTTCGTACGTCATGGCGAAACACCTAATGAATCGTGATCAAGGCGACTCGTTTGAAGCACTATGAGTCGACTCTTTTATAGATGAATCAACAGTTTTAAACACTGTATTCTTACAGATTTAAGCCTTAGCTGGATACTTCACTTCACTTAGAGCTGTGTTACACACTACATGGAGGGGAATTTTCAAAAACCCATAATATGGGCTCTTTAAGTTCTACCGACTTAAAAAAAATCAAGTGTCAGAGTTTCATGAAAAAACAAAGTATTCAAATTTTCAGATAATGTCTTTGGTTCACAAACTCACAGGCTCTTTCAAATGGCTGTTGGTAAACCTCTTGGCATTTCTTCAAACTGCATTCCTGTTCCAGAGTCGTCTCAGTCAGCTGGCATGAGTGCATCCCAGTCACTGTTCATAAAATATGCAAGGTCAGTCACTATTTGCAACTAAATAGCAGTTACTATACTTATTTCGTACCTAAGGTCCAAGTAAAGCAGCTTTAAAAAAAAAAAAAAGCTTTTACTTTGTATATTTTTTAAACAAATTTTCTGAAGACATTCCAATCTATTTTTAATCTAATTATTTTAACCTACTTATTGTTCTAAAACTGATCTAAAGAATGATTTTAATTGATATACATTTTAATCGAGTCTCAATGTTTATCACAATCATAATGAGCTTTATTTGCTAATTGTGCGCAAATACAAGAGGAGTTTTTTGTGGTTTAGAAGAGCATTATACATAAGGACATGTCAACAAGGGAAAAGAAAGGACATTTAGATAAGTCAGAAATTAAGTAAACAATAAAATGATTACGTTTGTCTAGGAGTTTGCTATTCAGAATAAGATGATTAAAAAAGGGACAAAAGAAAAACAGAAAAGTACAGAAAAGCTAAAACTCCGGGCAGCCATCTGTGGCGCATTATTGGACATATTAATTCAATAACTGTGAAGTACTACAATTTATATAGACAAAATAAAAAATAATACCGGACATTTACTCCAACAAAAACTGCACAAATAAAAATTTTCCTGGTTCATCTAATTTTTTTACTTTTAGAATATCAAGTGTTGTATAGCAGCTATTGCGTTAATCTGCAAGTAGTTATGTACACTGTGCATAATGGAGAAAATTACACATGCAAAGTGTAAAATAATGTTTATTCAAGTTTCAGTTAAAAATAATATCAGGACAAAAGCCAGAATTTGATCTTTAAGCAAAGGAAAAAAGCCCCAGCCTACGTGTGAACCTCTGCTCTGCTAACATTTTATAAAACTTAACTTTTAACATGCAATTTAATTACACAGAGATGCTTTTGCTTGCAGTAAGTAAATGGTAGCCTCATTCATTTTATTCAGGCATGCTAATGTGAATTTATAAAAGGTATGATTTGCTTTATGTGGGGATTTCACATTGACAATGTTATTATAGTGTACATTTTGTATATTGAATCCCCTTTTCAAAATATTTGATGTACGATCATTTGTAAAGCTTGTTTACCAATGGGGATCTCACTTTAGTCATCTGTGCATTCAAGTCCCCACCAGCATATAAAAACATGCAAACGCCACACGACAATTGAAGTAAATTAACATTTGGTGAAAATTAGGAAGATGCTCTTATATGTTGTTCTTTAAAGCCAATATAAAACTCTGATATATGTGGCCGTTTTATATCAGAAAATAAAAAAATATAGCCTATATATTTTACTCAAGTTCATCTAATAATTTCAGTAAATCCAACAACTGAGAATATATAGCTTATACTTTGACTATATTGTTGCCAAAATCTTTCAAATGTAACAACGTGGCGTTTCCTATAGCAGATAATAATAATAATAATAATAATAATAATAATAATAATAATAATAATTATTATTATTATTATTATATAATTCATATAATTATTATAGCAGATGAGGCATATGTAATATTAAGAATGCATAATACAGCCCACATTATTTTAATAAAATAATATTATTTCAAAAGTTACAAGTTGTTCTAGAAGGTAGCCTATACTTACACTTAATAAACAGCACAAGGACCACAATCAGCAAGAGGACGCAGATGACCAAAAGAACCAGGGAAACGACGCGGTAAAGACGAACTCTCCGGTAAATATCTGATGAATCTGAAGGGGGGAAAAACATAATACATCTGTTGTTACATATGTCAATAAATGACGGAAGTGCTGCAAAGACAACGACGTGCATCACCTGAATCTGGCGGCAGTGGTTTCGGTTTAGGCTTGCCGTCAGTGGACTTGCCGAAATTGCACAGTTTTACGTACATGCTAACGCGTCTTAATTCGACGAAGGCCAGAGAATCTAAATGAATCTGCACAACCTTCAATAGGGTAGTGCTCACTTGCCCGCAGCTCAGCTCTTTAAGAGCGCGCGGATGCACTTGAGGGGTTCTCGGCCGCGCGCAGGGGCTTTGAAGATCTTCATCCGTCACCGTAGCAACACACACACACACACACACACACACACACACACACACACACACACACACACACACACACGCAGTCTGAGCAGACTATCAGTAACACAATATCATCTCTGTGTCCTCGGATGCCCTGCTAAAACTAAATAAGATACCCGCTGTCCTCCAGCTGCAGCTCCGTCTGAGATATGCGTCGTTTACTTATGGACATACAAAACAACTTCTAATGTGTGTGGATCAGTTGTTTGGGTTAACTAGAATGATAAAGATGCTGAATGACTCAAATGTACAAGTACTCTTTTTTTTTTTTTACTTACTTTGACTCACTTACCTTTCTTTGGCTTAGTCCCTGCTTTATCAGGGGTCACCACAGCGGAATAAACTGCCAATTACTCTGGTATACCTACGTGTACACTTAGAGTACACAATAGCCCAAGTGCCGGGAAATACCCAATTATCCCAAACTGAGCTCATCAAAAATACTATTTTCACACATTTTCAAAAAATATATGAAAAACTTTATCCAAAAGTATCGTTATAACCACAAAGTGAAAGTTAACAGCCTTTTATTTTGCTCGAATAAGTGACTATCAAAATATCCAAACCCGTAAGTCATCACATTAAATTTAGCCAAAGCATATCACTGCGTTTACGCTGTTACCGTTTAGAACTGCTATCTATATCGTGCATTCAGAGCAAATCTGTGATAAGTCCAGACAAGCTCTTGCATTATTGTAGCCCTGGCTGTGGTTAAAAACCCCTTGTGAAGATTAGCTTTGGTTTTACTTAAATGGACGGGGTCTAAATTAAAAAAGAAGATCTTTCACCATTTACTCATCCTCCATTTGTTTTAAACCTGTTTGAATTTCTTTCTTCTGTTAAACACAAAGGAAGATATTCTGAAGAACGTTGTGAAAAACAGCCATTGACATCCATAGTGTTCCTTCTGTCAATGGCTGCTGTTTTCTCCAACAATTTTTAGAATATCTTGTTTTGTGCTCAACGGGAAAAGAATTTCTGAAGTTCTTAAAATTAGAATTACGTGAGTATGAGTGAATAGGACATTTACATTTTTCATGTGAATTATCCTTTCACATGGTAAGTTCAACCAAAACGAGAAATTTACTGTTAGCTTACTCTCCCTCAACACATCATTTTTTCTTATGTAGAACTATTTTCTCTACTATAACTCTACTGATGCTAATTTCAGCTGAACGGCCTGAGATAGCAACATTTTTTTGTGGCGGGTGAACTATCCCTTTAAGGCAACATGTTGCTAAGATGGGTGGATAAAACAGGCAATACTGTCTCATATAAAGGCTTTGCCTTCCCTCAAGAAATGGGAACTAAATGTAATTCAAGAAAATGCAAATATTGCACATAAAGCTTCCCAGGACAACTTAAAACATTTTGTGACAAAACACAAAATCAATTTAAACATATTTTTTTCATCTGATATTTTTCCCTTTTATGAAATACTGACTTTTTTTTCTAATTCACCTCCATACAGTTATACACAGTTAAACAGTTATATACAGTAATTATATATATATATATATATATATATTGAAGTCAGAATTATTAGCCCCCCTGTTTATTTTTTCCCATGCTTTCTGTTTAACGGAGAGAGGATTTTCTCAGCACATTTCTAAACATAATAGTTTTGATTACTCATTTCTAATAACTGATTTATTTTATCTTTGCCATGATGACAGTAAATAACATTTTACTTAATATTTTTCAAGTGACATTTTTTAATAATTAAAAACTGCTTTTATTCTAGCTGAAATAAAACAAATAATACTTTCTCCAGAAGAAAAAATATTATCAGACATACTGTGAAAATTGCCTTGCTCTGTTAACATAATTTAGGGAATATTTAAAAAAAAGAATAAAGAAATTCAAAGGGGGGCTAATAATTCTGACTTCAACTGTATATGTGTGTGTGTGTGTGTGTGTGTGTGTGTGTGTGTGTGTGTGTGTGTGTGTGTGTGTAATACATATGCTTCAGTGAATCAAATATGTATTTATTTAAATAATAGTCAAATTCAGCAATAAAACATATTGAATTTTCAGTGTTTTGAGGGATAGTTAGTATGTTCTGACCTACAGTAATTTCCATTTAGCTATTTTAGAAGCTGCTGTATGGATCAAAGTTTAAACTGTGTTTAATTTTTTATTTTTTATTTTACAAATTAAGTGTCTTGTGAACATTCGCAATGTCTATCAGCTCTCTAGATCTGCCGGTTTCAGACTGTTGAAAAAAAAAACGCGCATCAGCTTTTGAAAGTGTAATACTCACTACTCTTGAGTACTTTTGAAAGGGCTACTTTTTACTCATACTTAATATTTACAACAGGTACTTTTACTCTACTCACACTACGTTTTTAGGCAAGTAATGATACTTTTACTTGAGTATGCTTTTTCAGTACTCTTTCCACAACTGGTCCTCCTTTATTTTGAAATCAGAAATATTGTTTGTTTTGCTTGACACTTTTCTCTAACTCACTGACCAATCAATTTGTTTTGTTTTTTTCTCCATCTGTTTTAGTTCCTCTTTTTGGTCTTTTTTTCACTTGTTTCAGAGACAGCCGACAGACATACCTACAACAAATTTTGCTGCATGTTCAAACTACTTATTTAAAATTTGTTGAAACAACACAATTCTTTAGTTTAGTTTAGTTTAGTTTAGTTTAGTTTAGTTTAGTTTAGTTTAGTTTAGTTTAGTTTTTTGCTTCACCTTAATTGTTTTATGTTCAATCCACTTAAATTTGTAAAAACGATTAAGTTAACTTTATTTGTTTTGGGACAACATTTTGGAATTGTGCAGAGCCCAAGCATTTACAGTCTACTTTAATCACATTGTTATAGTGCACAATCATTATGTGCATGTACTGCAAAACAGTTTTCTATAAATTAAAAAACACTGCATTCTTTAGTTGTATTTCTAAAAGTGTGTTACCTTTATTGACTGTATATGAGCGAGTTGAAGAAGGCACACCGTACACATATTCAGAAGGGTTAGTGAGAGCGGAGTAAACATTGCCTTCGTCTGCAGTCTCCTTTTCAGTATCAGCTAGAGACCATCCAGTTCAATAGAGTAATAATCATGCAAAGAAAATATGAGAGATTAGTAGTGATCAGAACAAAAATGTTTGTATCATCCTGCTCATAACACACCCTCCCATTAAACACACAGTGAGTCCTGAATTTGAATAGTAAGAAAGTTCGGCAAAAATAAAGATTTGATTACCTTCGGTCTCCTGCTCGTCCACGTTTTCTCTCTCATTGTGCTCTTCAACCAGCGCAATCTCCTCCAACTCCACTTCTACCACTTGTTGGCTCTCCATTGTTTTGTGTGTGTGTGTGTTTGTGAGTGAGTGCTAATTCCCTTGAGTTTCGTTTCCTGACTAATTAGTCAGAGTTCCCAGTATGATCCTGGTCAGTAAACTGGTTTAATTTCCAGCTTCGCCCAAAGAAATCCTGAGCTGATGCTGCTTCTCAGATCACAGCAGTTCTGATTTTCACACATGATCTCTCGTTTTCTCACTTCTTCCTCATTCACTTCTCTCTTTTCAATACCGTCAGAATAAACCAAATCATTAATCACTGCAAATCGCATGCACTGTAGTCAACATTTAAAGTGGATCAAAAAAGTTAATCAAACATTCTTAAAAAAAGCGTGGGTTTTAAAACAAATTGATTACGTGAACTTACAAATTTAAGTAGATTGAACATAAAACAATTAGGTTGTCCCCCCAAAAAACATAAGAATTGTGTTGTGTCAACTCATTTTAAATGTGTAGTTTGAACAAGCAGCAAAAGTCATTTTTTAAGTGAAGTTGTCTTATAAGAACGGGTATTGTTTTGGTTTTAGGACAAATTTGATGAGAGGTTTTGATCCACTTCAATAGTTGACTAATGTAAATGTCTAAAAATATGCTGAATGAAACACAATAAAGTACAATGGGAGACCACATGGGAAAGCTAGGTTGCTGCCGGAAGTAGTGCTAGTGAGGCCAGCAGGTGATGCTTATCCTGTGGTCTATGTGGGTCCTAACACCCCAGTATAGTGATGGAGACTCTATACTGCTCAGTGAGCAGGCCTGGATTCAGAATTCAAAGGCCCCTGGGCACATTGTCTTGTTGGGCCACCTACCCGGCCGCACCCCTGTAGTTGAATTAAAAAGTAAGAATAATATATTATTTATTTTTAATAAAATTAATCTATAATGTATTGCCCACATTTTAAAAGTAAACTATGTATAGTACATATATTTATAGCCTACACAGATTTGACTTATTTTTCAAGGATTTAAAGCACTATGTTAAAAAAAGATACTAATGAAATTAGTGAACATTAATGGTTTTAGTATACTTATTCAAGTTCACTGAAGCAGTACTAATATATATATATATATATATATATATATATATATATATATATATATATATATATATATATAAAAGGTATATTCTTTGTAAATGCAAATTAGTTACATTAAGATGTCGCTAGCATTTAACACCAGGTAGAAAATAACTAGAAAATTTTAAATAACTGCTGAATAATCACATATGAAATAAGCTAAACCTTATTAAATACACAGGAGCCACTTGTGACTTTATATCACATTTTCATTTTTTTTCATTTTTAAACAAAAATATTTCCTTCCTATTAAAAATGAATGTATTTTCAATCTGATATGTAATATGGAAAAAAAAAAGAAGAAGGAGCTCATCAGATGCTGGATACAAACCGGTTGATGATCGATCCGTCAAAACATGTCGACATGCTCTTTACGAGCGACACCACTCACGCTGCTATTATTTGCACTCTTTAGGTATGTTGTCTGTCTTTCAAACAGAGATGGGCGGAAAATCGCTCAAATAGCTTCTTCCAACGAGGTGCGCTATTTGCACTTAGCTTAAATAGACACTCCAAAATCTGCATTTTTTCCCCCATCACATGGGCCCTTGGGCCTGTGACCATAGTACCCATTAATAAATCCAGCCCCGTCAATAAGTGCTGTTTTTTGGATGAGATGTTAAACGGAGGCTCTGACTCTCTCTGGTCTTTAAAATTCCACAATGTCCTTCAAAAAAAAGAGTAGGGGTTTAACCCCGGCATCCTGGCCAAATCTGCCCACTGGCCTCTGTCCATTATGACCTCTTAACCATCCCCATATGATAATTGGCTTCATCACTCTGTCTCCTCTCCACCAACCAGCTGGTATGTGGCGCAATATGGCTGCTGTCACGTCATCCAGGTGGATGCTGCACACTAATGGTGGATGAGGAGATTCCCCCCAAAAATGTGTAATGAGCTGTGAGTGTCCAGAAAAGCACTATATAAATGTAAGGAACTATAAACTATTATTAACAGTAAGATACTGTAAAATGCAGAAGTTTTCTTTTTTACGCAATGTTGAGTTGGGATATAGTTGACCAGAAGCCACAGTTAAGCACACATGAGATTCAGAGTTACTGCAGCTTAACCATAATGCAGTGAACGTTTATAATTTGCAAGACCTAACAGAGTTCAGGCACGCGATTTAACCTTTTATTTGTACCTTAATAAAGAAATTTGTTGAATTATTTATACAATAAAGACCTCGCGGTGTTATTTTATCTTTAATTTATTCCGTTTTTGTACCAAAATACTATTTATTTCAATTCATTTGTAATTTGGTAGTTTAGTACAGGTTTCCCCCACAAGTCCAAATGAACCAAAGTTCATGCACTATAGGTGAATTGAATAAACTAAACTGGCTGTAGTGTATGTGTGTGCATGTATAAGTGTATGGTTTTTCTGAGTAGGTTGCAGCTGGAAAGGCATCCGCTGTGTAAAACATATGCTGGAAAAGTTGGCGGTTCATTCTACTGTGGCGACCCCTGATGAATAAAAGGACTAAGCCAAAGGAAAATGAATAAATGAATGAAATAGTGAAATTGTGTGTGTGTATATATATATATATATAAATATATATATATATATATATATATATAGAGAGAGAGAGAGAGAGAGAGAGAGAGAGAGAGAGAGAGAGAGAGAAAATTAAAATATTGCAATGTCAGTTTTTTTCCAATATCACGCAGCTCTAACAGGCATATTCAATTTTCAATTGTTCAATTTTTTTTTGTTTTTAGTTGTGAAAAATGTTTATCCAGTCATTTTTACTATGATAGATGTTAATTTATTAATTTAAACCCCCAGTTTAATTTACTTTATAGTTCCTGTAATTAACTAGGTACTTTCTTAGGCATTAAAGCTGCATCTTATGTTTGTTCAAATAGACGTTCATTACATTATTTTAGTGTCGTGTTTCCATGATATTTTGAATTTGTTTTTATGAATCTGTTCGCCTTCTAAATATTAGTATTTACATTAATTTGTGAAAGTTACATTAGACCTTATTCTTTTTTAACAAGAAAAAAAAAAAAAAAAATATATATATATATATATATATATATATATATATATATATATATATATATATATATATATATGTACTGCTTCACATTTACTCACCCTTCACTTGTTTGTTGTTTTCAGTGAAACACAAAAGAAGATATTTTGTAGAGTGTTTAAAAACCTGATAGCCATTGGCTTTAGTGGCATTTTATTTCCTACTATGGGTGCTCAAACATTCTTCAGAATATCCTCTTTTTATTAAGCAGAAAAAAATAAATACATAAAGGTTTGGAAACGCCTTGATGGCGGGTAAATATTTAGGTGAAAACTCCCTTTAAGTCAGGGGCGTCTGGCATAGTTTAGCTTTAACTTTCTTTAACTTCCTTCAAGTTTCTAGTACACATAGTAAGAGCTTGATTAGCTGGTTCAGGTGTGTTTAATTCAGGTTGGACTTAAAATATGCAGGACACTGGACACTCTGTACTTTAAGTACTTTCGAAGGTATGCATAAACTTAAACACAAGATATTTGGGCACAACAAAAAAAAATGCTCAAAGCCATCTAAAACATTTGAAAGATTTTTTATTATGTGCACAAAAGTTATTTATAATACTTTACAAAAAAAAACACTATTTGCATTAAATACAAATGATGCGCTCCTGGGAGAGAAAGATGTAATATATACTTGCTTACTACAACTTTTTTGTTTCTCCAAAATTTATTTTTGTTTTTTCCCTCTCTTTATCGTCTCTCAGTTCAAATACTTTACTGACAAGAATCTGTTCAGTGTAACACATTCGAGTTTCCTCCAAATACTGATAAATAAAAACAGCACCCATTAGACCCCGTTATCAACAATGCTTCCTTTAGGTACAATGTTTTAAACATGGGATAAATAGTTGTAAAATAATGCATCATCTTTCTCTCTCGTTCTCCGTTTCCACTGTACGTCTGTCCTCACTCTCAGGCTCCATAAACGCTCTCATTACTGTACGTCATATACAGGAACAGGTCTTCCTCATGGTGTTCCTAAAAACACAGACATGGATGATATAGTACATTTACTGTAGGTCAGTACCTGTATTTGTTTACAGGCAACACATTACAATCAGGTTTCATTTGTAAACAACATTAACCAATGTGAATAAACAATGAAAACAAGCATTACAAACCTTAAACTTGAATTTAGCTTATTAGAAATAGCATTGAACATTTGCATGTTTTATTAAATAATTTTATCTAAAATCATGAAATGCAGTAACAATTGTTTCTGATGTCCCTAAAATGTTCATGTGAAGTTTCAGCTCAAAATAACCCACAAATAATCTATTATAACTCTTTAAATCTGCCCCTTTTAGGCTCCATTCTAAATTGTGCTATTTTGGTGATTATCGCTTTAAATTCAAATAAGATGGGTGGAGCTTAAATGCCTATGTGTCAACACAGTGGCATATGCAAAACTCTAATGGCAGATGGCTGCTTCTCACTCAGGGTTGTTTATGCTAATGAGGGAGTCACTAATGGGCGAGGCTTTCCCCCTCAGATCACATGTTCAAAGGGTGAATGCCAATTAAAGTGTTTTAAAAAGTTAATTAGATAATGAATGAAGTGAAACTGAATTATTTTTTGTGGTAATAATTTTTTTTTTTAATAATATTAAAATGTAAAAAAGTGTGTATTTTTACTGTTCAAAAGTTAGTTCAACAATATTCAGCAAAGACAGATTAATCAAATTTATAAAATACAGTGGTTCCTCGCTATAACGCTGTTGACCTTTCACAGCCTCGCAGGTTTGCTAACTTTTTGACATGCTTTTTAGTACAGCACATTGTGTTCTGCGTCCTGATTAGCGTGCTGTGTTCTGCGTCTCGACTGGCTGTATACCATTGTCATTCAATCTCCTCCAAACAATGTCACCTGTATAGTACAGAATGCATTCAGCTTGCCAAATTTACATAAATCTTCGATCGCTAGCAGTGCGACTCTGACGTTTCCTCCCTGCAATGTTGATGAAACATTCTGTGCACTCGAAGACAGAGGAAGATGCTACCTATGGCACAAAAAATGTAACTTCTGGACATGCTAAAGGAAGGTAGAAGCTATGCGGCTGTAGG